CTCGGTTGCTGCATCAAAGCGGACACCACTGTTTTGGTTGGTGCTCTTTTTATCTTGGGCGATCGTGTAAAATGTGTTCCCATTTATCTCGTACCCTTGGAAAGTCGTTATAGTCGAAGATGGTGTCTTGGCCAACATGTACAGCTGATCTACAACATCATTGTCATTCATTAAATGTTTTCTCAACCAACTGCCGAAAGTCACGGGCCAGGTGCTATGGCTGGAGCTCTGCTCGCCAAAAGGATTCATGCCATCTGTACTTAGACCAAATCTTATGTTCCTTGCGTCAGCTGCAAAATCTTTGAACTCTCTGTCGATCTTTCTCCATTGCGTTCCATCTGCGGTGTGTCTCAACTCCCCGTCCGACTTACGGTCCTCTTTGTGCCATCGCAACAACTTGGCATGCTCTTTGTTCCTGAACAGACGTTTCAACCGTGGTATTATAGGAGCATACCACATCACCTTGGCGGGAACCCTCTTCCTGGGTTTCTCGCCCTCAACATCGTCACCAGGGTCATCGCCTCTGATCTTATAACGCAATGCAGTGCATACCGGGCATTCATTCAAATTCTCGTATTCACCGCGGTAGAGGATGCAGTCGTTGATGCATGCATGTATCTTCAGAACCTCTAAACCTAGAGGGCAGACAACCTTCTTTGCTTCGTACGTACTGGCGGGCAACTCGTTATTCTTTGGAAACATATTCTTCAACATTTTCAGCAAGTTTTCAAATGCCGAGTCAGCTACACCTGCCTGTGCCTTCCATTTCAGCAAATCCAGTGTGCAGCCCAGCTTTTTCAGACCATCATCGCATCCGGGGTACAACGAATTTCTGTGATCCTCTAACATGCGATCCAAATTCTCCCTCTCCTTTTCAGTTTTGCAGCGTCTCCGTGCATCAGCAATGGTCCGACCAAGATCATCAACGGTCTCATCACGTGCCTCTTCTTCACCTTCACCTTCCCCTTCACCTTCCCCTTCACCTTCAGCATCCTCCATGAAAGTATCACCGAAATGAGCAAGATAGCTTTCATCGATGAAATCATCCCCTTCTTCATCTTCTTCCATTATAACCCCTCTTTCTCCATGCTTGGTCCAACAATTATAGCTTGGCATGAAACCGTGCCGAAGCAGGTGCAGGTGAACTTCTCTTGAGGAAGAGTAACCCTTCTGATTCTTACAGTCAACACATGGACAGATAACAAAACCCTTCTGCTTGTTCGCATTAGCCACTACGAGGAAATCTTTCAAACCCGTAGTGAACTCACGGGAGAGTCGGTTACCGTACATCCATTGCCGATTCATCTGCATTATTATAATATAAAATATATAATTAACCATCATGCATTTGTTAAACTAACTAGCTATAAACAATAGAAATTAAACAATGAACAACACACATGCATATTTTATCAATGACACACATGCATGAAAGGTTCAAGTTGCTAACCGCGATCGAGGAGGAAAAAATAAATGAGGAACCTCAAGTGTGGCTCCAACACTTCATATCATGTTTGTTTCACCCTCTTGGGGCATTTCATCAAACACCTTGTGTGCATAAGAGGAACCAAAAGCAAACCTACACCCCCTTGTGAAGCTTGTGAAGAGAAGTGGCACCAAATGGCTAAGTGAGCGTGCTGAACTGGTATATATAGGGGAGGAGCTTTAGTCGCGGTTGGCCTGGCCAACCGCGACTAAATCCCCTCACGTGCACCAGCTGGCCACCGAGCGCCCTGGGCCCAGGCCTTTGGTCGCGGTTCATCTGCCGAACCGCGACTAAAGACTTCATTAGTCGCGGTTCCTACAGTTTCGCGACTAATGGGGCTGGACGGAAGCCTCTTTTTCTACCAGTGGAGTTTCAGAACAATGAGCTTGATGCATTCATTTAAAAAGAATTTGTCGATTTGTTGAATTCGTTGGATAAGGAGGTCATGATGATGACAAGCCTCCAGGAGGAAATGAAGAAGGAAGCGGAGCATATTCTAAAGAGGTAAATACACTGAGGTGCTTGAACTTGTCATCGATGTTCACTTTAGTGCATGAACTTGAAAAATACGTTGAACTGGTTCTATAACTTGACACGAACGTGCAAATACGGTGCTAATCACATTCGTAGACGTAAAGTGCGTCGACGTGGCACTGACATGGCATGGGGCCCACTTGTAGGTACGAAACAGAATTACTTGAGTACTATATATGACTCTATGACTAGTGGGCCTGCCTGTCAGTAATTAGTAAGAAAATTAACATAAAAATGTACTGGTCGGGCATCGAATATGCGTCCTGACGCGCTTGGGAGATATATGCGCTCACAATTCCACCAAACATGTTTTTTTGTCAACAACATCAGACTCTCATAATCAATGTAATTGAATCAAAAACTCTTGTATACATAAATGGGTTGCAGTCTGTGGCCCATTTTCCACAGGTTATTTTTTTAATGTAAAATGTATGTTAACAATAATCATAATAATAAATGCTAGATTTGAATATTCATGTGTTATTAATAATTACTTCATGCTACACTAATATATTGTGCACACAAAATAAATATAGAGAGGTATGTATTAAAACAACTTACTTAAAATCTGCCTGTAATTTTTAGAAATATTAACATATTATTAGAAAAATACTATTTTAAATATAACCCATGAGTGCTTTAAAATGTTTGTAAATAGTAACATATAAAATATTTTTTCTAAATAATAATTATTTTCTGAAAATATCATTTTCTAAATAATAAGTTAATATTTCTAAATATTGCCCGAATAGTTTTTAGTAAGTTATTTTATTACATACGGTATACATCTATATACTTAATTACTTTGTGTGCACATGGATATTCGCACATGAATATTGAATCTTACTTCTATCATTATGATTATTATTTACGCACATTTTACATATTTTTAAAAAATAACGTGTGCAAAATGGTCCACTGGCTACAGCCCATTTATAGACACATGAGTTATGGCTTATGTACATGAAGATTTAGGGGCCATCCGGATGTTAAAGCTTCTTCGGTGTGGTGGCTAGCATGGGCAGCGCACAAGCGTCTGGCTACTGGTTCGATTCCTGTGAAACGAATTTTTCATATTATTTTTGTCTAAGGTACTGACAGGCGGGCCCACTAGTCATAGAGATATTCAAGTAATTCGGTTGGGTAGTTATAAGTGAGCCCCATGCCATCTCTATGCCACATCAGTGATATACACTGCCACGTCGACGCACTTTATGTCTACGGGTGTGATTAGCACCGTATTTGCACGCTCGTGTCAAGTTTTAGAACCAATTCGACGTATTTTTCAAGTTCAGGCACTAAACTGAATATCCATGGCAAGTTGAAGCACCACAGGTGTATTTACCTATATTCTAAACTACAAGGGTTCGATCAAGGGGAGGAGAATTGTTCACCGGGATAGGATCATCGGCGCACAACTGCTCTACAAGAACAGCTTTCAACCCGAATCAAAGTTCCATGATGGATTTTTTTGGTGTCGCTTCCGGGTGAGCAAACCCTTGTTCCTGCGCGTGGTGGAGGGCGTGGAGGCACATGATCCCTACTTCAGTCTCAAAAAAGATTTGATGTAGGGCCAAGCCCAAGTTTACTCGGATCTTCACGAATTGGAGTTACTTTGCACCAAACAAAATATGCCTTGTACTTTCAAAGTTGATAGAATAACAACTTTTAAGCTGTACTAGCTGCTATGCACACGGTACACTTTTACACACCCAAAGGAAACAATTGGTCAGTGCATATACCTTGGACTTGTATGGTGGCGTCCTGGCCGTGGACGGCAGTGGCACACACCGCGGTCGTGCCATTGCCAGCGCCCTTCGTAGTCCAGTTCAAGCCCCTATCAACTCTAGCCGCCGCTGCCGCTGGGTGAAGGGTTGGGGAGTGCAGCTCGCCGGCGAGCGAGAGGTGGCGAGGGCGAGGGAAGCGACGGCAAGGTGGGGGTAAGCTTGGACGCTGCCATGGCAACGGTGCGAGAAGGGACGATGGCTGCCGGGGTATACATATCGAGTGACAGGTTCAGTTCACTGGCCAATGGATACATGGTCGAATTAGTAGTCATGGACGGGAGACCTCGGTTTTGGGACCGTTTGTCCACAGTCCACAGATCTTGGTAATCATTCTCCCTCTGCTATTTGAAATTTTGAATACCGTCTGCATATATTGTTTCGAAATCTACTCCCTCCGTCCCATAATGTAAGATATTTTCTAAAAATGTCCTATATTATGGGACGGAGGGAGTACAAGGTTATGCTCTAATGAGAACTTGTGTGAAAATGTGTTGGAGATGAGGCACTTGGGCACTCCTTTTGCATGCAAATCAAATGGAACCTGGAGGTTCCAATCCCTTGTTGGGTTGAGTTCTCCATTAAATGTAAGAACCGAATTACTTTGTGTACGATGGTTTTCCATCCGATTCCTATATGACAGGAGAAGGGCCCGCTTCCATATGTTGTGGCCAACAACACTAGATCAATCTGATCCTACAAATGTCATATGAATTTTCATCGTATGTGTAGCAATCTCATGTAAGAAATGCAGAAAACATGATAGTAAACACATCTTACTGCAACAACTTGCAAAACCAGAATGCAACAATGAGAGGTACTAACTTCACCAAATAATGTTACCGTACCACAACATACAAAATACTAGTTCAACAAATTACTAACACTGTGTTTGACCATGTATCGTACTAATACATAGAGGGCACATTTTGTGACGTAGACCAATAACACCAAATCACCAATTTGTGCAATTGCGTGTATTCTCAAGTTGAAGATATTGTCCTAGGTGGCATCACAATACTATAATCTGATAAGATACATACCTTGTAAACTAGGGTTTTACTTCATTGGAAATCATTAACGCACCATGGAACATCTTAGGATTGGTCAAATCATTTTAGTTTACTATCTCACATGTGAAACATAGTTGGTTTCAACTTCTAATTTGAAGCTCATTAGAACTTGTTTCCCCAAAACTAAGGACCGAATCTTGTATCCTCACACTTCGAGTCGTGGGTAGGTTGCTCCTGAAGCTTTTCATTGCTTGAACATGATATTGTCTTCACATGTAGCTCTTTGGCCTTTCCATAGAGGTACATATACAAACCACTGAAAACCAAAGCACTACCAAACAAGCTGCCATATAACAGTAAAATGTATCACTTACGGAATAAAAGAGCATGTAAAGATTAAAATAACTAACAATTAAACTATGGTATATGGTGTAATTCTAGTGCAACAATGTATAACTAAATCACAACATTCATTAAGCTACGTTGTTCAATATTTATGTTTCATCATATGTTAAGGTACAAATTTTCATTATCTCTATTCTAAACCACTAGGTGGCTATGGAGACACTGCATTAACACAACTCATCAATTATACATTCATTGATCATATGGATCATAAGGCATGCTTCACACGTAGGTACATACACCATGATAAGCACAAATATATTTAAGCACCACTTTCTTGAAATTAAATAAAGCAACTTCTATATTTGTCACAAGAATGATTTTTCCCAATGCTATTGTGTCTTCAAGTCATGATTTATAATTTTTTGTTACTTTATTAGATAATTATAACTACATTGAGAATATACACACCCTAGGGATAGAGACATTATGTCCAATTATAATACCTACACATACATAAAAAAACAAAAGCTTTGAATGTGAGTCCAAATACTAGACAAAAATACACGTACCTCCCAACTGTGAGGCTTTCTCCTAGCAATAAAGCCCCAAGAACAATGGTGAAAACAATCGATAATGTGCTGAACATTGGTGGGAAAACAGGACCTCGCTTTTCCACAGCATAGAGATTTAACCAATACTTGGCGGCTGTGCCAAGTGCAGCCTATGTTCAAAATCAAGTATGTGACACATTATTGCCTATTTTTTTAACTCTAAAGTTAAGAAAAATATAGAAATAAATTTTTTGAATATTCAATATCATGAAGTAGTTGGATCTTGAACCATATATGATGTCCTCATAAGCAAGTTTTTTACAATTTTGATCTAAGTTAATATTTAACTTTTAAGAATGATATGCCCATTGATTCTTGTAGCTAGAATAAAGGTTGAATACACCACAATCTCTAACAAATATTATCCTTACAAGCTATTCTATATCTACGATGAAAACATATCTTGCTCGGGTTGCTTGATAAACTAAGATTAGCTTATAAATGTAGTGGAATTATCAACTAGATCTGAAATTGGGGAAAGCAGTGGAAATCATGCAATAGTAAGAGATTTATAAAATTGAGAAGATTATGGAAAAGACTTACTGAGTAGACAATTGTTAATAGTTGAATGTTCCATCCTACTTGCCAAGCAAGTTTGTCTCTTCTCAAAAATATACCTATGGCACATGTTTGCAAACCACCTAGAACACAGGTCAACACTGATGACCAATGTTTCCATGGATACACCTTTAGAATTTTCACCTGCATTATTAGAAACCATTTGTTACAGATACAAGACTTAGTCTAAAACCACCATATTATAATTGGGCATACCTGTATGGGGTACCAAAATGCATAGCATATGCAATCACCCAACAAAAGTAAGGTGCCTCTCAAATGGTGGCGTCCTCCGGCTACTCCATTAGAACTCTTAGTGATACCTTTTATAACTGGAGACCAGAGATGCAGTTCCTTCCCATTGTATAGGCTTATTAATAAAGCCCCTCCAAAGCATACCAATGCACCAACCACCTTCGCGCTACCCTCCTTGGATTTGAGGCGCAAGGTCTCCATGCTGCAAAATATATTTTGAAATTTTATTTTTTAATCTCTAGGATTAAGGTACATAACTAAGTTGTTTATTCGCGGAGATGAAGTTAC